ATTTAATTTAATACATCATTATATACGCCACGCTCTTTCTTCACGGCTGATGAGTTTTATAAAATTAGGATGGCTCTAATTAGTTCGCTTTATTTATTAGTTCAAAAACGTTGACGAGCAACTATTCGATCATAAATCATATGCTCGTTGCATACTCACCTATTTGAAGGCGCTTGGTTCGGCCTCGCAAAACTGTTGCTTGCTAGTTACGCGCCGTCTGACGAACTTTGGAATAGCTATGAAATACGAGACCGGCCATAACGTGACTGTCACGCAAACTTTATATAGAGATAGTTCGATGCATCAATGCCAATTTAAGAATACAGAACGGGAAAAATAATCATCTCTGCTAGAAATGTACTAAATAATTCTAGTTTGCAATATAATACATTTTGTGTGCTTGTGTAAGAATATTTGAGGATAATTAATTATTGTAAAAAGTTATGAAATTCTGCGTTAATTATTCTTCAATGAAAACGTAAAACGGGCTGCAGGAGATTCTAAAATGACTAAAATCATTGAAAACTATTAAAACTCACTAGCAAATAGACTAAATGAAATCGGATCGGATTCGAAGGCTTTCTCTCTCGGTCAATGTTCGCCAAAGATGAGGGAAAGCCTTCAAAACCGGTCCGATTTTATTTGTTTTATACGCAACTGAGTTGTAATACATTTTAATCATTTTCGCCAATTCTTTTTTACGTGGGAGAGTTCATAAAGGATTATCGTTTATACGAGAACACAAGACCTGCTAGCTCCTTCTTAAGAAAAGAAAAGAGCACCTGTCATTGCTGACCTCTGCAAAATATGCCACTTTAGTTTTCATGGAAAACTGGTTGAAAATGCCTGAAACTTTAAACTTGGGGAACATCAGATGCAAGTATGGCAACGCAGTCATACATGGAACATAATCTCAGTATCTTACTCTTTGAGTCGTAGAAACGATTTACGTAGTGCATGCTAAGTTTTCCAAACGCACTCAAATATTTTCAAAAGCAACTTAGCTGAGGCGTAACTCGATCGGGAATCATTCAAAAAAGGAAACGATTGATGCTTTGATTTGGAACATTTTAATTTCTCGAAAAATCACTCATTATGAGATACTCATTACAAAATATAAAATATATTTGTTTGTATTTTTACATGAAAAATACAGTGCTCATTTTAACGGCATATCGGCACAGCGTAAAGCATCGAGCACCGAAATTCGTAACATCAATTTCACAAGCGTTTTCTCTCTGCAAAACGATTACAAGCAAATTTTATCGTCAAAATTTTTCCGCGAATACTTAAAAACTTACAGAAATTGAACAAACTTATCGTTTAACTTAGAATGAATCCTTGATTTTGATTTTCTTTGAATTTGGTTTTTACATTTGACTTAAATTAACATTATCACTGAATTTACACTATTTACAAGTTACAGTCTTATCTTAGTAATAAATAAATGAAAATCAGAAAAAAGGATCGAACCTCCTTTTTCGCAAGGAAAGACAAGATTAAATGGGCGAGACAAGCTTTCCAATGGAAGACATAAATTTAATGGAAAGATATTATATGTAGACCCTATGAAGCTTGTGTACATTTGCACATTTTTCAAATGCTCTGATGTCGATTCAATTATTATTTTAATAGCTAGATTCATTTGATGATAATTTTTCGAGCTGAAGATGTGAAAGTAGCTCATACGAGAGGTTTCATTCTCTCTGAGGCAGTGGGGCACATACTATTGAACCAGCGATTGTCCATCCGGTGAGGAAAGGAATAAAATGGTGGGCGTATGGTAGTCGTTTCACACCAGCTCTCATTTACAACCTTTTAATTACTATAAATTGCTCTCCGCGATTGGTCTACAGATTTAATTCTCATCTAACGGGTTGATGCATTTTTATTCGACCCTCATTCACTGACCTTAAATCTTAGTGACTTACATATACAACTGAGTGGATGAACGAAGCAATCACGTATGGAAGATATGGGTTCAGTGTTGTGTGAATAATTATGTACTTGCACTCATCGCCGTTTCCCTCACGAAAGGACGTAACTATATTTCAATGTTGCCAAATTTCCCTCTAAAACTGCATGTTCCTCACCAGAAGAATTTTGAGACATTTCTGATTGAAAATTTCACTAATTTTTCTCCTGATCTCACACGAAGATCAGACAAATCTTGAGCAAAAATTTCACAGGTACACTCTTGTAATAAATTTAGTGATTTGAGTCAATTGTGCAACCTTGGAGTGGGGTTCATTACGTTCCTTCGTCCAGGAGACAACGTCATGTGAGAGTGCCTCTGCTTCATAAAATGAAAAATCGTGGCCTACATTCCATTCTACCCAACTTCTACAGGAAAATATGTAAAACCGGTATTCCTTAATATTCTAACCAATATTTTGATTTTTTTCTAAAATTCAATGTTAGTTTCAATGAGATTCTGAAATGCTTTGGAGGGAATTTTTCGTAAAAAAAGTGATTTTATCGTATTACTTTGCGTTAGGAAATCCTAAAATCTTATCATTTGTACAGTATGAACAAAAATTTCTATAAAATCACCTTACGCTCAAGTAGTAATTAAAAAATATTCTGTAATTTTTAGTGAGTTGTTTTCAAACTATCTTTTTGCAAAAGTGTACGTTTTTTTAAAGACCCGCTTTTGAATGTAAATAATATTAAAAAGAAGTGAGACTCCTTTCACCACGGTGTATAATTTTACAACGTGGACTCGTGTTGATGATATGGAAATAAACCCTAATTTCCTTCTAAAAATGTTCGATGAATGGAAAAAAATCACGTTTACTGGCAATTTTTTGTTTGAAGGAAAAATGAAATAATGTCAAACCGTTACGTGCCATTTGAAAATTACTTAACCTTAAAAAATAAATTATATTTACAATGAAAATGCCATCAATAACAGACTATATTTTTTCCACAATTTTTGCAAAGTTCAATTTTGGACGATGTTTAACTGATTTGCTTAAATTGTTGGTTGCCAGAATTTTTATAAGTTTTAAAACTTTGAGATTTTGAACACTTCGTAATTGGCAAAAGTGAAATCCGCACAGCCAGTGATTTATTTTGCATACAAGATTTTGCATTACTATCAAGATTTCAAGGTTTAACCCTCGTTAAAACTGTTGAGCTTCCATTTTTAATTTTTTTAAATTGAAAAATTACCAATAGATTTGGAGTCCCTTGGAAATTATATCACCAACAAGTAAACTTCGACCTAGCAGTGCTCTCACAACGTAAGAGAAGGACCAAAAGTGCGAAAGTAGAGTTCAACAGAGTTTACATGTCACTGGAGGAAATTTTATCAACGAAATTTGGCCGCAGTTGTAAAGATTTTCCAAACTTGCAGCTGCGCTAGGTATCCGTCTTTGGAGACAAAAACACAACTTTTGAGCAATAGCACTTTTGGGAAATAATATATTGACGAATTGTGAATGTTGCAGCCGCAGTCATTATGCCAAAAACCCATTTCATTATGTTAGCAACATGTCACAATACCTTTCAAGCCCTTCCTACAATGGAGAGAAATCTCGCAGTAAAGTGACGATCAACAAACCGGAAAAGGAAATCTTTGATCTATCTGAAGCCAAAACGGTCGGCCAAAATTATTCAGTGTATTCCTACCGTTGGCTTGACTCGTATTGTAGGATAATTTCATTCATAGTCTACAGTAATTAAACAAAAAAAACTTTTACAAAACCTTAAAGAGAACATTAAAAAAGAGGGCCAAATAGCAATGGAAACTGAGATGCCAATTTTTTTTCTTCAAATGTGCTTTTGTATTTACATTGAGCGCAAGCAGTCAGTATAGTCAAATCAGACATCTTCCAAATGCTGAGGCGAATTAATTACCACTTATTCTCTCTTAGATTAAAAGCATTAACGGTTTACTAATTTTTGACATTGTATGTATTCGAAGCGTGAATATGTACGTCAAAATTCTTTGTACAATGTTGGCTTATCCAAGAACCTCTAGACAGGGTCTGAGGTAAGACAATGCTCTTCTTGTTTTCTCTTCAGAATCTTGCGTCAAGAACTCTTTGGACGTATTTTTGCCAAACGGAACTATGCGCATTCAAACATAAGCCCTGAGACCCATAAGAATATATGTATAACAGACCTCACGTCATAATGCACATAGTTCCATTTGGCAGAAATACGTCCATTTTTGCAACGGAAAGCTCGGAAATCAACTCTCGAAAGAGATATTAACAAGTATTATCAACAAAGATCAAATAGAAGTAATATTATACAAATGACGTCATATGTATATTCCCATTTGACAAATGTTAATTGTAAATAATTATATCTTGTACAAGAGTCTATTTCCAGACTTCTTGTCGTGTCATTCATTTATCCAATAAAATCTCAAGGAGAAAACATGTTGAATACAATAGCGAGTTGTGAATGATCGATTATCGATATTTCCCGATTTGAAGCTATGGTGAAGAATCGATTGTTAACGTGTTCGTTTCAAACACCCTGTTTATCGATCCTCTTTCATAGGTTTAAATGGCAGATTAATCGATGTATCATAAAGCAAGCCACGCCACTGGTTGAATGACACTTTAATACATCCCAATGGCGTGACGTGCTTTGCGATACATCGATTGATCTGTCATTTAAACTAATGAAAAATGATTGATAAACAGGGTGTTTGAAACTAACACCCTTATGATTGCTTCTTTACCATACCTTCGAATAGGGAAATATCGATAATCAATAACTTACGATTCGCCACTGATACATACCTTGTCTTGAGGCTCATTCATTGTACACTCCCTATACTGCCGTGTTATGGAAGAACGCCGTATGAACATTCGATAGTTGCCAAATTTCCTTAGATAAAATGTTCATTTTTGAGGAAAGTTATGGTTATTTTCCCTTGAAATTTTCAAGACTTTTCGGCGGAAGCACGAGAAAAATTATCTGAAAAATTGGAAGAAAAATATTCATAAGTTTACAAGGAAATTTATGTTTTGTCAAAGGAAATTTGGCAACGTTTGAAGGTTCATACGGCGTTCTTCCTAAGTACGGCAGTAAATCCCTAGTCAGAATATTGCTATGTTTCCTTTTGAAAGGACTGAGCATGAGAATAAATTAGGCAGCATCTGATTGTAATAAATCTAATAGGATTCTAGTAAAAACCGTCGATACACAGTGGAACGACAGAACCTCATTTCAGGCATCAAGTGACTCACGGCAGCAGCCTGTGGTAGTAAGGCTTGCTACTATTTTCGATAATGTAGAAAGCGTGAGGTTTCCCATTGCTGGGGAAGTACTTGGTGAACTGTTTCGTGGGCTTGGGTTTCATGTATGTGACGGTCTTTTTCGGGCCGTGCTTCTTGTGGCTGGCCTTGTCTTGATCTGCGATGGAGGGAGCTGCGGGGGTGGAGTGACCCAAGTCGCTTGGGTATTGGTGGTTCTCGATGTTCTTGACGTTGTAGACGCTGCTCTCTCCGGCGCCGTGGCCCAGGAACAGAGGGTCGTTGATGTCGTCGTCGTACTTGTAGAAATTGGAGTTGGTCTTCCTCCCGACGAGTTTGTTGATGACCGGGATGTTGTAGTGGTACACCTGTCGGCAAAGCAGAGATCAACGTCAACGATTAATATATGTATTATAATATATTATTATTAACAATATCAACCCATCTGTCACTTCTGTAATTCATCACCTGTAACCATCAAACACATACTTATGGACTGCTCTGCCCTCCGATATCTCCAATCACAGATCTACTCCCCGACAATCAACAGAAATACAAACCCACTTACATGCGATGAACCCAATATTACTACCAAAATTCTGAAATTCTTCACCTCTCTTAATTTATAAATCTAAATTTTCGTATATAATCCCATTTTCAAAATTATCTGTAGAGACGTTAATAGCCCGAGACGCTGAATGTCTTAAAATTATACTAACTAACTAACCAATACACCTCTACTTTGGTTTTAACTAAGATTGTACGAAGACACATGAAGCTCTTAAATATTAAGCCGAAATTAAATGTAAATTTTTGCTTCTACACAAATTTAAGATAAAAACAATTTGGTTTATTTTATAATTGCAACTTATATGTTTTGTTAAACTCTTATCCTGGATCTTTATATTGTTTAATCTAATAGTCCTGTTCATCACTCATAAAAAAATCCTAAGATGATTAATAACATTAATGTACCTATAAATTATTAAAAATATATTTATCATGTTGAGTAATTTAATATTGTAATTTAGTATTAGTATTGGTATTAATATATTTATACTTTATTTTGGAGCGGAATTGATAAAGTTAGGTCAGTCTATTCTGGTGAAACTAATCCCCTCACCGTACTTAAGGATGCAACTAGAGCCCGGGAGAGTCACGAAATGGGTCGAGTTTATCAGAAAGGAGCCAACCCACATTTTCGAAAAAAAGGAGTTAAGAATGTTTATGAGTTCCACTAGTTGTGTATTTTCTCCTGAAAAAAACTGAAAGTCGAAAAATAGAAATTACTTTGTGAAAAGAGGGGTTAAATTTTATTTTCTACACTGAGCCTAATGCAGGAATGAAACTTCAAACCTCTTTTTCTCAGTTTCAACTTAATGTGGGTTGGTTCCTTTCTGATGAATTCGGCCCAATAGTGATAAAATCCGTGCAAGCATCGTCAAAAGAACGGCAACTAATCGTCCGCACTGCGTCTCGCGCAACGCGAGAAGTATTCATGCAGTCTTGCAGGCGCTAATATGCGTGTCGCGTCGCCAACCGCTACCGCACTGTTTGGCGCAATGCATGAAGTATTCCTACAGTCTTGCAGGCGCTGATATGCGTTTAACGCCGGCGTGGGTTGGTTCTCTTGTGATAAATTCGGTCCAAATTTTCCCTCACGAATTGCATTGTTCCAAGGCAAACCTTGGACTTTTCTAACTGAGTATCTAACGATTTGTTCCTTTAATCGCATGCAAAAATCATACACATTTTTGCAAAACATTGCACAAGTATTTACTTGTGGAAAACCTGATTGTTTGGTTCAATTTTGTGACTTAGAAATGGAGTAACGTTCCTTCGTTCAAGGAACGAAGAATAATGCGCCACAATAAAATGGAAGTATTTCTGCTCAGCGGAACTATACTGCCATGCTAAGGAAGAACGCCGTTTGAGCATTGAGCATTCGAGAGTTGCCAAATTTCCTCCGATAAAATGTGTTTTTTTTTAAAAATAATCTATATTTTTCTTCGAAACTTGCAGACTTTTTAGATCAAATTACGAGTGAAATTACCTGAGAAATGGGAAGAAAAATATACACACATTTTCTTGAAAATAAGTGATTTGTTCAAGGAAATTTGGCAACGCTTGAAGGTTCATACGGCGTTTTCCCTTAGCACGGCAGTATAGACGAGTGCGGAAATTAGGGTGTGTTTTAGAGAGCTGCTTAAGGAATAAAGTAAAAGCGGGCGTGATTCCCTTCGGGGTGAAGAAATGGAAAAGCGTAAGTATACATTCTACCAAACGGAACTAAACGCAAACTCTATGCGGTACTCATGAGCCATGGGCATGACAAAAGAGCGTCATGGATAGGGCTCATGAGTTAAAGACTCCGAACGGAAAGATCCTCGTCCCGGTCGTCGACGCTGACATCACGAGCGCTTTATAATTCCGATCATTGGCGGATCCAGCAAATTGGCAACACTGTCTTTTCTCCATTTGAACCTATAGAAATGTATCGATTCTTGGAGAGGCCAGGTGCTCCGATGAGAATCGACTATTCAGCATAGGTTTAAATGGAGAAAAGGTGTTGCCAAATTGCTGGATCCGCGTCTGATTCCGATTCATTCTTACGGCCTTCGACTAACGAGCACACCTCATCTTTCCCACCTGTCTCTGGTTCTGTTTAGCAGAAATACATCCAAATAAAGCTAATTTTATCAAGATTATAATATGAATTGCATTTTACAAAAAGGAACCAGAAGCATTGCAATGTTGCTAAGATTGTGCAATTTCTTTCGCCTTGGAAGAAAAACCTGATTATCCATGAGCAGTTTCTATTTCACTCACTAAAAATTTTAAATTTGAGACAAAAATTGCCATGAAAATTTCTTATTTTTCCATATTTTAGTAATTTTATTGCATAGGATGAAGTTGCACGATAAGTTGCATAAAATCCGTGCAAGCATCGTCAAAAGAACGGCAACTAATCGTCTGCACTGCGTTTCGATTAACGCGAGAAGTATTCATGCAGTCTTGAAGGCGCTAATATGCGTGTCGCGTGGCCAACCGCACTGTTTGGCGCAATGCGTGAAGTATTCCTACAGCCTTGCAGGCGCTGATATTGCATCATTGAAATGCTTCCGATTCCTTTTTGCAGAATGCAATCCGTACAGTTTTAAAACAGTCAAAAGTACGTTGCGGAGCTCACCTTGCTTGGTTTGCCATTGGAAGCGAAATTAATCCCCAAATTGTTGAAGGACTTGTGACCGGGGTCAGCACCGCGGAACTTGTCATCATGATGCGAGGCGTAGTAGTACGAACTGGGCGGGAGCTTGATCACATACATCCTCGAGTCCAAGTTCTCCAGGATCCGCTTCTGGTGGCCCTTGTAGCCTTCCGGTCTCTGGGCATGCGCGCCCCCGGCCAGCCGCTTCCTGTAGTGCGGACCCGGCTCCACGCGCGCCAAGCCCAGCCTGGACAGAAGCTTCGAGTTGGAGACTATCTTCTTCTTCTGGTTCGAGTTCTGGGACCGTTTCGGCTTCTCCTCTCCCGGTTTCGAGGCTCGTCGGTTGGAGCCTTTGGAGCCTTTTCGCCGGCGGCGCGGGGCCGTGGAGGATCCTGCAGAGGTCTCTTGGCTGGGGGTAGGGCTGGGGGTGGCCGCTGATGTGGAGTCGAGGGGGGTGGCGGCCTCCTGGGAGCTGGAGTCAGGGGAGGCTAGGTCTAGGTCAGTGGAGGTGTGGACCAGTCGACGCTTGGTGCGAGTGGTGTCCTCCGCAAGGACGATTGCGCATGCGCAGAGGAGGATCATGAAGGCTAGCCACAGCCTCATACTGAAACAGAAAAGAAAAATGAAGGTTAAATTTTGCATAGTTTTTGTGCAAAATTTAAAATGACTCTGTTGCAAACTTCAGCCAGAGTAAAAAAAGAGTTGTGTTTAACAGAAATTGGCTCAAAAAATACGATGAGCGCATTAGGAAAGTCTGAGACACACTCAAAGCTTTTCAATCTGTGAAAGAAACCACCATTTAGCGGGAAAAACAAAGCCGAGAAGTTGCCAAAAATTACAATTATAGTCAAAAATTTGAACTCTAATGAGTACCAGCACGAAACTGAGGAGGGGGAGTGTTCAGCTTATGCAGTCCGGATTGGAATATTAAGTTGAGGTCAAAGTTGGTCAAAGGTTAAGTTGAGATCTATAACGTTTAACGTTTCTACCTTGATACATACAGTTTCGGGTCATTTTTTAGTGTATTTTCTGATTTGCGAAAGAAAAATGCGTGTTTTTGGGCTGCCTGCTTAAAAAAAGATACTACGGCACAAGTGAACATTTCGTAAGAGGAGTCGTTCCATCCTTTCCTTCCGCACTAAGATACTACGCAATATTCAACATGGTCGACGCCAACCCGATAAAACACACGTGACGAGGCGGGAGTATTTATATTTACATTTTCCGATTCAAGTATTACACATGCCTATTATTCAGCAAAAGATACTGCATTCAGTGGCAGAGCATAGAATATGCTTATATTATGTCGATTGCAAAGTTATCTTGATTGCTGTAGCAAATGCTACCGGTCATTGAATTTCCTCAATGGACCACTAGACAAGGTACGAATTTAAGCGATCTGATACATGTTTCTTAACCAAAATTTTACGTAGAAAACGATTCACACAACGAAAATTACGGAAACCAACTCCTAACGAAGATATTAACCTTTTCATTTCACATTGGTTACGAGGAATTTGAACTGCCCGCTCACAAGAAACTCAAAGCTCTACGGGAGTCAAATCGCCCACTACAACGGTTTCAGCAAGCTTCTCAATCGAGCAATGTTCATTTCCCATCATGTGTTGTTCAAACTATTAGCAATTTGCTATAACTGAGCCAAAGCGTCAAGATTGAGGTTGCCAGATTTTTATATCGCAGAGACTGTCATGATAACGTTTAGCGCGCGATGCGAGTCACGTAGAGCATTGAGTTTTCATGAGCGGGTGGTTTGAATTCACGCATCAAGAATCATTAAATATCTTCATAAAAGAGTTGATTTCGGTAATTTTCGTTGTGCGAATCGTGTTCTACGTGAAATTCTGGTTAAGAAACATGTATCAGATTGCTTAAATTCGTACCTTGTCTAGTGGTCCATTTTATCGTCTATAAGCTCTAGATTCGTATATTTTCTTCAATTGCCTGACCCATGTGGCAATGTTGGAAAAGGACACGAGTATCAGCACCTCGACAGTTAATTACAAACGAATTTGTAGTCAAAAGCAGTCGAATCGAACGTCTAGCCGTAGTGAATAGTTTTAAATGCTCTCCGATATCTGTTTGGTCTCTGGTGGTCTAGCGCCGCCGACCGTGGGAGATCGCCACAAGACAGGAATGTAAATCACTGTAAACACCGATTCGAACCAACATCCTCGAGTTGTTTCCAGACACGCATGTTCGCTATTACATAGATTGTTCCCCCTACAACATGTCAATCGAGACAGTTATTGAATGAGCTATCAATTCTGAGAAAGATCGCACACACCACAACACAATCTCGGAATGACATGGAGCAAGGGTCGTACTCATCGCCGTTCTTTGACGAACTTTTTTCTGAAGCGAGGTGCTATGAAATGTCATTTCAATTGAAGGAAGTTCAGGAAAGGCTTTGATGGGACACTATGTAAAGGACGATTTTCACGAAAACTAGAGTTAAATTGATCAGTTTGACTTTCAAATACATCATGTAGTATGCACTTTATAAACCACACCATTTCCAAGATAATCGATAATAAAAGTCGCCGCACCGACCTACGTCATCAAAAAAATTCCAAGATGCCCGAAATGCAGACATTTCCTTTTTTCCTCTATATTAGAAATCGGCTACTGTATGGTGAGCACTGCAAGAGCTTTTGTCATGTTCCAACATTCTTGAATTTTAAGTGGACACGCGACGTCGCGAAAAATTGTTTCTACATGAAATTATGCATATTCAGCATGATTCGAACATTTCCGGCACTCATTGTGTCCTCAGAACAACAGCAGGTTTTAGTAATAGCCTTTTTCTTAGTTAGGCATTCTCCCCGCTCATATCAGCCTCCCCTTTCCCTCCCCTAAAAGCTCGCCCGTGGACAATTCTCCGTGTCTCGAGACAGAGCCACAAGGCTGCCACGTCATCCGGAAAATATGCAAATTTTTTATTATTTCCACGGGGAAAATGTTGATTTATCACCATTACTTCGCAACTTTGGTACAGAGCAGTGCAATAAAACATGCTCCAAACTGCCGTGCTATGGAAGAACGCCGCATGAGCCTTCAGACGTTGCAAAGTTTCCTTCGATAAAAACCGAAATTACCGGGAAATTGTGCGTATCATTTTCCAAAATTTTCAGACAATTTTGTACACAGTTTAATCTAAAATATCTGGAAATTTCAAGGAAAAATATGCATAAATGTTGTCAAAACTACATGTTTTATGAAGGGAAATTCGGCAATTCTCGAATACTCATACGGCGTTCTTCCCTCGCACGGCAGCAAAGCCCTCTACCATGTGGACGTATTTCTATCAAACGGAACTATGTGCATTATGACGTGAGCCCTGTCATGCACATATTCTTATGGGTCTCAAGGGCTCATATCTTAATGCACATAGTTCCGTTTGACAGAAATACGTCCATGTGACGAGTCTCCGCACGGGTGCGGGTGCGCAACGCAAATTAATTCCTCTTCCCCTGGAGCGAGGCTGCCAACTCTCACCAAAAATCTTGAATTTTCGTTCGACTTTTACGAAGTATCCAGGGAAATTTTCCGCTGAAGCGATAGCATCGCCGTGGACACCGCAACCCGTAAAATATTACGGTACCTTGCACCGACTGTGAACTATGCTGTAACGTCGGACCCCGGCACCGTTCCTTGACAGGCTGAGGGCCCTTATTTATTGGTGGGTTGTGGGTTATGGCTCTCTGATGCCAACTGTCCCCGCCACGGCCGGAATCTCCCTGAGCTTTGAAGAGGGGAGTTTGGATTTTAGGACAGGTGGCAGCACTGGCGTGGGGGTAGGCCAGCCTGGAGCCGGCGAGAGAGGTCACCTACAAACAGTCACGTGAGTGATAAAACAATTAACCCAGTCGTCTCCGCCGCGAGTTACAGTTTGTGAGTTCTGATTTTGAGGTCCTTTGTTCCTAACGGTCCGCTCGTAAAGTCTAGGATTTTGGGGGCTCCTGCTGAGAGGGGTCAAGTAAATGTAGACGATGATCATTTTACATTTCACTGATAAGCTCATCGGGACTTGGTGCTGTCTCAACAATACCGATTGTTGAATGAATGTCCTTAAATATGAGAGCTCGTAGATTTCAATTCTTAATTGAATCCACTGTTTAGATAATGGTGTGAATTTAATTTCCAAGGACAGTCCATTATCGTATCAATGTTCTCCTTAGAATTACACTGGGTTTAATCAATCGTAAAAGAAAGAAAAAAAAGAAGGAAAAAATATTAATTTTTTCTCTCCAGAAATCTGAACCGTTGCTCAACCATTTGAGGAAAAAAAACTTATTCCTAGGCAATTTTGAAACTTTCAAATTTGCTACCGCCAATAAACAAATAATAACCTCCATTATTCATAGAATATGTTCATATAACACGAAGGAAATCCGATCTTAGAGCATTTACTTTTTAAAACATATATAAAAAAATTTAATTAGCCATGTTGCAGTTCAACTACGCAATCACTACAATACATAGCACTATTTAGCTAGGCAATAAAACTATTTCTTTATATCAATATAATATGTAAATGTTAATGCACGTAAATTTATTGTAACTAGCAGACACGTCAGTTGCGATCAAACTGAAAGTTACTGAATTACTGAAAGTTATATTTTGAAAACGGAATCATCGAATATTGAATAATAATGAGGACTGAGCCGAAGTTAGGTTATCTCAACCGAAGAAATTGGTTCCTGCAGCAGAGAGATCAGCCCTCCGATAAAGAAGGCATTCCCTAATTTCCTCTGCTCAAATACCTATATTTTCCCCCACTGTATTGGTAACTTTTCCTTCTATTCCGGCAACATAAGGAGATCTGATTATTTTAAAGAAGTTATTAAAATTTACATGATATAAACCGATAATGACTTCCTTAATTTCGATAGACAGGAAATGAAAACACTTGACAATTTCCGGTCACTTTTCAGTTTGCATTAACGAGTTAATCCAAAGCGTTTCTCCTCTTATTGCTGATAAACACGCGTTTCCAACAGACCTATCTCGGGAGAGGCGAACAAAATACTGTGGGTACTCTTAGAATCCTATGGTGATGAAACGTTCACCTCAATCTCACGAAAGGAAATCTTAATGTGATAGGACAAGAGCACGCGCATGGAAAAGCAGAGCAGGTAAACAAGCAGCAAATGCGGATCGTTTTAAGCGCGACTAACCAAGTCATCGACAGGCTGGGCGCACAGTAGTATCACCCGTCGAGTTGTAAGGACAACGAGAGAGACTTTAACGCAAGGGTAGAAAAAAGAACACCGGTGATGATTGGTGCTTTTACGCTCACAGAGTACTGCCGTGCTTAGGATGAAAGCGGTATGAGCCTTCAGACGTTACCAGGATTCCTTCGATTAATCATGAACTTTGAGAAAATTTGTAGACATTTCTCCTCCAAATTTTCAGAGAATTGCGTTCGTAAAATTTAATTCGTCTTAAGATTTCAATAAAAATATTTACAGCTTTCCTCAAAAATAAGTAGTTTCTGAAAGTAAATTTAGCAAAATTTGAATTTCCTCATCAATAACCATTCCCGAGTAGCATTTTCAGCGAAAAATCTCGATATTTTCTAAC